CAATATTCCAGACTAGGTCAACGGTCATTATTACGCATCAAGCATTTACATCACCATCTTCGTCATGGCATCAGAGCGCCAGAAAGCCAAAGGCGCGTCAAGAATGCGGTCTAAGCCCAAGGGTTGCAGGGCAAGAGGTGTCTCTTCCTCCCGCTCGCCTGCATCCGGCCTCCGTGCAGCCCGACCTCAAGACACCATCCTGCGATACCTACAGTCAAGTTCGCCTTTACCCGTAGCTTCCGAAAGAAGAACGTCTCCAAGAGAAGCAAGCTCTGGCACGCTGCGTTCGGATTTCTCCTCTGCCACCAGCAGCACCGAAGGCCCCGTCGCAGAAGGCACTGCGTTCCCCGAGCCATTATCATCATCATCTGTAAGGTCGAATGTGTTACCATCGATCGATGAGTCTTCCGGGAATCTCAGGTCGCGACGAGGGAGGCATTTAGAGGAGCGGCCCTCATCTAGATCTCCAGTCAGGCAGCACTACGGTGGAAAAGACTATATATCAGGTGCGGTTTGTCAGACACGAACCTTGACATGCTAAAACTGACATGAAGTCAATTTGATCTAGACTCAATAGATGATGGCATGACAGAAATAGCTGCCCCGGACGGCGACATGTCGCTAAATGACCAGTCGCCAGCATTCGGCCCCGATATGCAGATGGACTCAACCGGTGAGGATGACGGGTCACGGCAAATGCGTTCAACACCTCCACGTGGTCATGAGTCTTACCCAGGTCAAATACTCAATCTCTACACAGTACAATCGGCCTGCTAACCATCGGCCCTAGATGGCATGATAAACAGGGCAAATGATGAACGACGCGAAAATAGTGTCACCCGAAGCGAGCATCCTCTAAACGAGACACATGACGAAGAGCGAACGGACCCCATTGCTGCGGAACTGCCTACACGCGAGGAAATATATAACTGGGTTGAAGAGGAAGAGTTGGACGAAGGGGAGAAACTGGCTCGGCGTATCGTCTATATCCTCACCGCCGGTCTGGTGTCATGTCCGGCAGATCAACACAAGAACCAGGACGCATCACACCTCGCAACCTGTCGCCGTCATCTGCACCTGCGCGAGACGTGGGCTGGGTCCAGTGCTAGAGTCAGTGGGTTGTCCTTCGCCGAGCGAGGGGAACAGTCACGACAGTTCGGCCTAGACCGGACCGTCCGACCCCTTGATGCTTCGGTCACGGGCCTCCGTCGCGACCAGCTGCCTCCAGCCAGCCGGCTCGAGGCCCAATTCGCGGGCTGGAACGAAGACAAAGACTGGTCAGATGCCGAGGTTTGCCTCCACCAAGACGACGTGTCGCAGCGGAAGCTGGCGCCCACCGTTCACGACATCGACAGCTTCCTGCATATCACGAAAGATCCGCGCAGCCTGCGAGGGCCGTTGAACATATGCATCACGGCCCAGCCAAGCCTCCTCCTCTCCAAATCCATTCACGTCCGCGTGCCCATACGGATGGGAGAGAAGATCAAGCAGGTCCCGATCTACCAGATCCCGCACACCGTGCTTGCTCACCAAAGGCCACGAACGGTCTACATGTTCTTCCCGCGGCTCTACGATGAGAAGCGCCGGAAGAAGGGCCCAGTACCCCTGCGAGAGGAGCAGAATCGGCTGTTCTTCGACGGCTTCATCAAGCCAAGCATCGAAAAGATTGGACCGCACTTTGTGCACCACCTACCTGGTAGCTACGACTCCGTCCGGGCAGCATCGTGCATCGCCAGGGAGTCGTCGGGCTCGGCGGCTGTACGCGGGGCGGCTTTTGAGGTGCCATATAGCGAGGAGAACCTCCCCAGGTTATGGAGCGTCATGCAGGAGGCACTGGATCGTGCGGAGCGCGACATGGCAGCTGATGGGCTCCGACCCGGCGACGGCGGGGGCCTGTGGGAGACAGAAGATGCCAGTAGGCTGTGGCAGTTTGGCGATGCTATCTTCCTCTGCAGCTACAAGGACACCAAGCTGTGGTATCAATCCTCCGGCAGTAGCATAGCGGGGGTGCTAGGAGACTTCCGCGCCCAATGTGGCGTCGTCAGCCTCGAGCAGGAGCCGGCAGCCAGGATTCGCAGTGGCAACCCTGCTTACGGCAACAACAGTACAGAACCGGCGCCGCAGGGGCAAACCCAGTTTGTCGACGTCGCATCCGAGCTCCTGCCCACGAGAAGTGGGCATACTGTTCTGGCTCGGCGGTG